CCCGCCCCTCTAATCGCAGTCCCGCCCCCCCGGCGGATCCGCCCCAGGTTCCTGCGAATCCCCAGCGGCGGACGACTCCGGACTCTGTCTGCCTGGTCTCCACTTCGGCGCGATTTCCACCCTAGAGACGGAGATGTGAGTGCGGACCTTTCTCTGCTTCGGGCGTGGTGTGGCCGGGCCCCTGCAACCCACCGATCCCCTGGGGGAGGAGGAGAGTCAGGGCGCGGAGAACCGGGCCCGCAGGCTCGGCGCGGCGGGGCCCGCCCTGGCCTAGCGCTGGAAGTGCATCCCGGGCTCTGCGCGGCCCGGGGATCGGCCCCGGCGCGCGGGGCCTCTGGAGCCGCTGCACGCCAGGTCTGCGTTCTAGCGCGGCCCAGGTTGGCTAGAGCCTCCGGGGGGAGCTGGGGAGTTCAGGAATCAGCTCCGGGCCTCGAGGCCCCTCCTGGGCCTGGGGCTCGTGCACCTGGGCGGACGGTGCCTGGGGTCCTCCAGCCTCCCCTGGCGAGGGGCCGGGCCTGCAGCCCGGGGGGATGGTGTCACGCCCCGAAATCGCCTCAGCTCCTAGAGGAGGGAGGGACGGGGTCACGCTCCCCGCTCTGCGTTAAGCGAATGCCCAGAGGAACGGGGCGCCCTTCAGAGTAGCCGATGGTCTCAGGAGGACCTGCTAAATGGGGTGGACAAAAGTGATTCTTGACTTTGGTGTAAAGCAGGAGGTTGTGAGATGGCGTATCCCGCAAATCCTGTTCGGGCTCCAGCTCCGGAATTCTTCTGTCTAGTGTTTGGGGCTCACTACAGCCAAGGGCGTGGAGGAAGTGCTCTTTTTGAAGAGCAAGAACCTCCGGGAGACGAGCAAACTTACCCTGGACGCTGCGCTTGGTAAAGATCCTCTGTTTTTGCGCATCCGTGGTGTTACCTTTTCGTCGCTGCCTGTATAACTAATAGGTAGAAGGAAGGTGGGGATTGAGTGCAAGTGAGGATTGCTTACAGCGTCCCACAGACACTGCCAGACAATTTTTACACGTGTTCGCTCATTTAATGCTCACGAGCACCAACTTAGTAGTATTGCTGTTCCACTTCATAGTCTGGAAATTCAGATTGAGTAATTTACCAAATTGCACAATTGGTAAGTGGTAGCATTAGGATTGAAATTCAGGTCTGTGTGATTCAGAACACAAACTTCATGGTTTAATGTAAAGAACATTATTACTCTTTGGGTGAAGATGGATACCTAGATTTCAGATCTATACTTTGAGATTTGTCAGCTGGATGACCTTGGGCAGGAGACGTAACCTTTTAGGGCCTGTTTCTGCATTTGTCAGATGGAGATAAAATACCTCCTCTGTCATAGGGTTGTTATGAAGGTTAAAGAAGATCATTTTTGGGATACTTAGCAGAGTGTCTGGCACATGGTGGTAAGCTATATATAGCTGCATATATCCTTCTGTTGTCATTAACTGGGGACAGCAGACTCCAGCTCTGAGTGCTGCCAGCCAGAGCCAAACACAACTTGTGTGTGCCTAGAGGCATAGGTGGGGGGAGACAGGAAAGGATAAGAAAAGAAAGGAGAACTGAGAGCAGATGATATGGCTGATGGCAATTTTAAGGACACCAGATGGATTAATCTGTGGTACCCAGGGCCACTTTTTTGCTTTTGTGAGAATGTTTTAAAAGGCAGTTTCTTTTAGCTGATGAATTGGAAAAATACATCCCACTCTGGGCTGAAGACTTTCCGAGAGGTGAGTGTCTGGGACAGGACCATGCCTGCCGAGGCTTTCTCCCCGTGACAGTGCTTGGCCCAACCCCACAGGGAAGCACGGGTGGTTCTCTTTTAGGATTTCTTCTCTCAGATGGAGGCCCTGAAGAAAGGAGAAGGACAGGAGATTCCAGCAGGAGGGCAACAAAAGATTGCTTTGTTTTGCCTTTTGAGAATTGCTTAATGACTGGACACCTCTCCCAATTTTATCTATAGCTGTGAACACTTTAAATACAATGATCACCATTTCCACATACATTTAAAGCAACCTAAGTATTACAGCTTTTTATATAGTCTTTAAAATTTATTTTTGGTTTTTTTTGGGGGGGAAAGGGGTATTAGGTTGGTTTGTTTGTTTGCTTGTTTGTTTATTTATCTTTAAATGGAAGCACTGAGGATTGAACCCAGGACCTCATGCATGCTAAACACGCGCTCTTCTTCTGAGCTATCCCCTCCCCCTTTTTATATACTCTTTGCAATGCTATCACTATTGCCCGAAATATTTCCTTTGTAGCACGGGCTCAGGTACGCGGTTCATGCTGCACCCCTGCTCCTGTCAATTCTTGGTATAGCTTTTAACATAGATTTCCTTGCCCCTTTCTCTTTTGTCTATTTCTGTGCTCTTTTTCCTACCGTTGTTAGGCTTCTTTTTCTTTTTTCAAAGCTTTCTTTAGCCAGTGATTTTTTTATGCTAGAAAGTGTGCCTGTCAGCACAACCAAGAGAGTCAGTGTTGGATGTGAATATGATTAAATAACATTTTGACCTTCAGAAATGTGTCATCTGCCACCACTGCTCATCAAAAGGTTGATCTTT